ATATATATATATAAGAGAAATGATTTTAGTAGGAGTAAATTGGAGAATTATATTTATGGAAACATAGTAGCTAAATGCCTAAAAGTAGTGTTGCCGAGTAGGGTCGATAATATGGGACACGACACGACAATACGACTCGAAAACGACACGAACTTTTTGGGTTAAGATTTAGAAAAAAAGAGACTCGGGTAGAATTGGGTCGACTTGAAATTGACACGAAAAATACTGGTTAATTTCGGGTTGAATCCGCCTAACCCGAATATGACACGAAACTCGTAAGAAACTAAAAAATATATATTTTAAATTTTATTATGAACTTGTGATATCATAATAGTTATATTCAAAATCTTATACTATTATTTGCTTAATTCTGATGGATATTATTGTATTTTAGTGTGTTATGAATTTTAAGTTGTTTCTAATATGTAAAAAATAAAATATATATATATATAATTTTCGTGTCAATTTCGGGTTCACGGGTCAATTTCACGTCACGGGTCATTTTCGTGTCGTGTCAACCCGTAAAGTGGTCGTGTCGTGTTCGTTTTGCAGTTTTTAAAAAATTACGTGTCACGGGTCGTATTCGAGATGACTACAAATTTAAAAAGAAACGATTAAAAAACGACATGTGACACGAATTGCCACTTCAAATGCCGAGTAAACAAAAGATGTGTAAGTGAGGAGATATTGGATGACAATTAAAATCCCATTTGGGAAAAAAATATTGGAACAAAATTAAAGAAAATGGAAAAAACAGGAAAATGATAAAAATAAAAATAAAAAGGTAGTTTCTCTTGTAGTTCGTAAAAAAATAAATTATCTAAAAGTCACTATTTTTACGTATTAAAAATTATTTATTATGCATATTTTTTTAATATGATGTAATTTTGAGTAAATCTAAAAATTAAAAGCCAGCTCCACCATAAGGAGGTCCTACAAAAAAAAAAAAAAAAAACTCATGTAAAAAATTTTGATAAAAAAAACAGGTTGGAGTAGAACAAAAGGGAAAGAAAACGGAAAAACACACCCAAAAAAAAAAAAAAATGTAAGTGGAAAATGTTTTTTAGATTTTGGAGCATCACTCTTTAAACATATTATAGATTACTTTCCACCATAATTGTCTATTAAATATAAAAATTTAATAACATGACATGATAAGAATCTAATATCACTAATTATTATTAATTTTTTTAATTAACTATTCAATATGTTACAACAGTCAAATTAAATTTTACCCTTAGACAACAATAACTACTTATGGGTAATATATATTCTGGGGGTTGTGATTGTTGTTGCCAGCACTCATGGCACAAGCTTGTGAATTGTGATCCAATTTGTGCTTTTGTTGCACGATGTTGTTTATTTATTTATTTTCTCTTTTCTCCCTTAATAAGGAATTAAGGATTTTGTTTCTTCTTAAAAAAAAAAAAAAAACGAAAAAGTTTGTGTGCCCAGAAGAGATTATCATTATTTTTTTATTTTTTGGGCAAATGAGAATACGGGTTCGTTAGATTGAATAGGGTGTGGGATCTAAATTGCGGCCACTAGTTGATGGAACTGAGGATACTACTATACTAAAAAGGGAGGATACTACTACTCTACTAACCTTGATTTTATTTATGAAAATTGTAGTAAATAACATATTGATAAAATTAAATTAAGTAAATAGTATATTTTAAAATTATTTAAAGTAAATAGTAATTTCTCATATAAATGTTTTATTTACAATTTAAAAAGTTTTTTTTTAGTAGGTATCACAAAGAGTGTTATAACATTTTCTATAACACTTGTGATAAATTGTATTTTAGATTCAACAATGAATAACTAATCAAGTAGGAAAAAATAATGCAGTAAGGAAATAATACCATAAAGTAGTATCACAGTTTGGTGTGTAAACCTACATCCGCGGGATCACATTCAGACAGTAAACAATCTATTAAGATGAAATGATTATAAATACTCTACGGTTTTACATACTCAAAGACTCTCTCTTTATCGATGTCACAGTTGCGAAGAATCTTTTTAAAAATATTATCTAATGAACACCACTCGTCTTTGAATACTTTCTCCTAAAAATAATACATTCTCCTCCTCCTGAAGAACACACTTTTGTACTCACAAATCAAAAGTTCACATACATAGACTTTTTCTAGAAAGTTTCTCTCAAAACACGTAGAATATTAAGCACAGCCCCCACTATCTGAAAAGTATTATCTCTCAATACAAAAGACTAATTTTTTCACGTTCAATCCTATCACCACAACAATACGTTCAGACACCCCACTTTTCAAAGTCTCCTAACTGTCACGTTAATGATCTCAGCACCAAAAAGCAATCAGCAACATTTCTTTCCTAATTAGAATCAATCAAAGAAACAGCAATGTCAACCATAGCATCAAATCTCCCAAATATTCTATGAAATTTCCTTGCCAAAAATTCTAATTTCCGTCATCAAAATATTCTATATTTAGATCCAATCAACAAGCCATTCCATATTCAGGAGAATTTTCATATTAAAATCATCTTTGATCTCCATCATAAATGCCAATTGTCAATAGTACCTTTTTTAATTTTTTTACAACCAATGCCAACAAATTGCCAACTACAAAGTCCTAACACGACTGATAAAAAATAATTTACGTGATAAAAAAAACTTTATTTATGTGAAATAAATCTTTTTATCAGTTGTAAGAAGAAAATTTACATAAAATTTTTTTACCAATCGTAAATGAAACATTCACACGGTAAACTGTTATTTACTTCGAATAATTTTAAAATATGTTATTTATTTTATCTAGTTTCATAAATATGCTATTTACTACATTCGCCCTTCTATTTAAAGCTTGTTTATTTAAGGATATAGAGTTAAATGGCCAATTTTACTCTTTCTTTAAATAGATGGTCGATTTTTTTTTAAATTATGCTATTGGTTGTTTTAATGAATTTTAAGATATAAAAAGACAGAATAGTCCTTTAATCAATTAATAATATAAGATTGCGTGAATTAGTGATGAGAAAAGGAGACAAATACTCTTTTGGAGTGCATGAGTCTAGATTTTTATGTCTTACTCTTAATTAATATCATCTTTAGTCAAATATTATATTATTCAGGATTCTTTTATGCCACCAGGGGAAATATTTCCAGCACTATGTTGGGAGATATGATAATTTGTAAAATTTTACTTTAAAAATTACAAACTCGAACGATAAAGTTTTAAAAGTTATGATAATTTGTTAAATTTAAATTTTACAATAATTTACGTTACAACTTGCAAACTCGAACGATTTATTGTAAAATTCAAAATTTCACAAATTATTGTTCGAGTTTACAACTTTATCGTTTGAGTTTGCAAGTTCTAACGGTTCACAAATTATCGTATCTTCCGGCATGGTGCCACAAAAAAGTATCTCGGTAGCATAAAAGGACCCTATTATTTAAAAATGTATTAATCAAAAGTAAAAGGTTAAAATGCAGACTTAGACACTAAACAAGTTCAACAATTTTCTCATTAGGTGATAGACCATGTCAATAGTGATCGATTGATTGCGGTCAATCAGTAATAAACTAAAATTAAGCAGTGGTAATACGATTAATAAGTGATAGACCGCGATTAATCAATGATAGATCACAAACAAAAACAAATAAAATTGAAAAAAAAACCTCACTTTCTTTTCTTTTTCTTCTCTTCCCATTCTTTCTCACTGCACACTGGCCTCCCCTACCAAGCCTCGATGCCCTCTTTGTTGCCAATCTCAATAACGACGCTTGTGGCCGCCCGCCAACACCATCCCAGCTAGCTCTGGGAGAACAGTTTTTTATTCTTTTTTTAACTTCTGCCATTATTTTTTTATAAATCTAAAAGCTACAGACATTAGTTTAATTGCTATGTGGCTGTTAACCACACAATTTCTTGCATACTTATCACCAACAATTTTATACTCTCTCCCTCCATCCATTCCACTTCTTTTTTTTTTTTTTTTTTTTTTTGGGATGACGATAATAACGCAGACCTATTTTACGTATTAATAATCAATGCAAGTTTTTTAAACCGTTGTATTCAAATTTTTAGAAAGACACATATACGCATATGCTTAATTAATCCAGAAATAGGATTCATTATATGTCGTTTTGTATATTTTATGGATATATGCAGGTTGAGGTTGAGTACCTCCCTCTCTACAGCAACTATGGGACTGGGCTTACTACTTGGAGTCCACTTTCTTGTGGAGTGTTCACTGGAAAATACAGTAAGGGAGTTATACCACCTGACAGCCGATTAGCATTGCAAAATTACAATGTAATAATCTTAACTCTATTCTCTCCTCTGCATTGTGGTTCGTTTGTGTCTAAATCAATAATCTCAGTATGTAAAAAATGGCCAAAATTTTGGACCCTTTTCATATTAATTTCCAAACCTATATACACGTATATTTATAGTTTCATTAATTTGATAATAATAATCCATCAATTAATGTACTCTATGTCAAGCTCTTAACAAATCAACTAAATTGTCTACTTAATCCAACAAACCATTGATTTACGGACATAAAGCTTGATAATCAAGAAAATTATCATGTCATATTGTTACGACGTACATGATACATTTATGCTTAATGGGATATAAGTTATTTGTTTAAAAAAAAAAAAAAAAAAAACTACCTATAAAAGTTAATACGGGACTCCCTAAATAATTGATCAATGATGGTATATGTTTGAATAGAATCCAGTATTTCTTCAGATGTTATGATAAGAATACTTTTCACAACTTGATTATAATTCAGTTTACGTATTCTTGGTGAATACTAATGGCTCGTTTAGTTCACTGATTCGAGTTGAGATGTGACTTTATGTGAGAACTTTTTACTGTAACAAAAAAGTTAGATGTGACTGTTTTTAAGAGCTTTTTACTGTAGCAAACTCGAATTCTAAACTTGAATCGGTGAAATAAACGGGGCCTAAATTTCTGTTTTTATGGTATGCAGAATCTTGCTAACAAGTCACTGATTGAGGATGCAGTGCTGAAAAAGGTGAATGGCCTGAAGCCGATTGCAGATGAACTAGGTGTCCCATTATCTCAACTTGCAATTGCATGGTGTGCTGCAAACCCTAATGTCTCTTCAGTTATTACTGGTGCTTCCAAGGAGTCTCAGGTTAGAAAATGGATAAGTAAATAACACTAAATTGTTTATATTAGCCGTATTAGTACATATCTGAGGGACGTTTTCATAAAACAAGTGACATGTGAATCGATTCGAACTCAACATGAAAATTTGGGTCAACACAAATTAACACGACCTAAATTTCCACTCCTACTTGTATATCACTCTGACTGAAATACATTCACAAGCAATTATTTGTGTGATCTTTGTAGCAACATTGTCTGTCTTTGTACACTCCACTAAGTTCCTATTTTCCTCCATAAAAGATTCAAGAGAACATGAAAGCCATTGACGTTATCCCCTTGCTGACACCCGAAGTGTTGGAGAAGATCGAAGCCGTTGTACAAACTAAGCCAAAGCGTCCGGATTCGTATAGGTAGACGTGATATATTTTTATTTGTTATACATCTTTATTTTATGGTTACTAATTCGGATAATTTATTTCTATGTGGCCCTTATAATCTTAACTATTCTGTGTTTTAAATCTTTTATATATATTTTTAAACTATTTTGAAAGGTTTCTAACTCTTCATTTTATGGCAGAGACCAGAGTGAAATTGGAAATTACTGTTAAATTGCGGTTGTAACCACTAAATCTTTTATATTGGTCCAACCAATTTTGAATATACATTAGTTTTCATTGAAACATAATTAGATTTATAAATCCATGTAAAAAGAAAATAAATAGATAAAGTACAATGGTATATCACACCTTTTTTCTTTTGACAAATAATAGATTTAGATAATACATTCATATATTTATGTTTATATTTATAGACGAGTTTTTAATGGTTACGTTTTCATAAGTTGTTATTCACAAAAAATAAAAATTTAATAACGTGACGTGATAAAAATCTAATCTTATTAATTATCATAAAATTTTAGTGACCTATTCAATTTATTACAATTGTCTAATCAATATCTTACACTAAAAATGATACTTACTAATAAGTAAATATTAAAATAATTATTAAAACACGGATAAAAGGTGTGCATGTCACTATGCTTTATAGTACTTGTATGGACAGAGCTACATGGGGGCCTATGGGCCCGTGCCCCTACTCACTTTTTTATCTATTTAATTTTCACCACTAATTTTATATAATTTTATAAATGTGCCCCATCAAAATATATTTTCTATAAAAAGTGACTGTTTATTTTTTTTTTCTTGAACCTATCCCACTATTTTAAGTTATTTAATTAGTTTTCTTATTTAATCTCCTCGATAGCCATTATTTTTTTAGTTGAATAATCTTAGACAATATTTAATCTATTTTTTATTATCCACTTTTTTCCTTCCACGCTTTTATAAAACGTTTTGCTTGATTTTGAATTAATACTATTTTAACAAAATAAGTTTGTGTTGATTAATTATGTGTGAATTTTACTTCTTAATCTTAGGATTAGTTTTGAACTTGCGTATTTATAATTCATTTGTTAAAGAAATTATTAGTAAGTCCACCATTAAATTGATTTACGCTTTAGTCCTTATTTTTTCTTAGAATTTTTTAAAAAGACTACTTTTAGTAAGTTAGGTACTTAACGAAGTAGAATTTATAATTTTCTCTTATATTATGTATGTGTCTATATAAGATACCTCTATGTCCATAAAATTATCTATTATATGATTTACTAATAACACATAATTTATAATATTATTATCTATACGATACATTATAATATTATATGTTATATCGTAGAATTGGAAACTAACGTAAGCAAAAAAATAAAATAAAATTCCACATTTTAGGATAAGCTTAAGCGGTATATACACTAAATCTCTGGTTAGGTTTCTAATTCATTTAACCTTACTGACGTATTGGAGGAAAAAAAAAAGAAGAAAAAAATGAAAAAAAAAGAAGAAGAAGATAATTGTGGTATATACAAAAGACCACACGGACATATTGGCGGAAAAAGACAAAAAGAAGAATAAAAAGAGGAGGAGCCGGGAGAAAACAAAAAATACTACTCAAAACAACATAGTATGAACTATCATTTATGCCATTGAAATGAAAAACAATGAAAATTATATTATGAGTGGCATAATCTTAAAGATAGCAAAAAAGGGTAGGATAAGTAATTTTCTCAACGTTTGCCTCTATATACATCTCCTCTTATAGCTCTGAACAACTCTAACTTGTATAGCCACCTTTGCTTAGTCTATCTACAATCTCTCTTTAGCCAAAAACTATTTCTTCGCCTCCTCCTCACTCTCTGATTCTTCCAAAGCCAAGAATATTATGAAGGTAGGAATTTTATTATCTTGTATTCTAATATAAGGTTGTGGTTTTTATTATGGTTGCTTATGATAGACGTTTCTTTGATGATGAATGTATGATACGATCTTATATTTTGCACGATTAAAAGATTAGGATTTGCATGATATAGTTTAATTCTTGAGAAAAAATAAGAAATACTATTCAAGATGTTAAAAAATATTATTTATGTCACTCACTTAAAAATAAACAATTGTCATTAAATCAATAAAAAGAAAACAAAAGATCACAATCACACCTAATTATTTAGAATGCCATACATAATAGCCTGCACAAAAATTAGGATTTGCATGTCTTTGATTCCATGTTTGTCTTTAATTCTTCTTTTAAAATCTAAAATTTGTGGTGATGACTTTTTCTATGGAGATTTATGCCTTGAAGTTTTGTTCTTTTCATTTCACGTTCTTGCAATAATTAGGATTTCCGTTATGGTAGATCATGATATCACGTAATTGAATTTAAATTGATGGTTTGGTATTGTTTCAACAAACCCTAGTTAGTGTTTTGATATAAGATTTTGATGATTTATATGATTAAATGCTGAGCTTTAATGTTAGAATATTAGGGTTTTAATCTTATGAACGTGTTGAAATAAAGTTTAGGGAACATATTTGCAGATCTGAGCATGGCGATACAGACGGAATCAAGCGATGAGCTGTAAAACTGTGTTTGCAGATCCAAGACTACAATATGCATAAAAAGTTTCTCATTTTTGCGGTAATCTGGATGATAACACAAGAATCAATGAATTTGCTGGGCACTAGAGCATTGAGCCTATCGGTTTTCTTCTTCTTCATGAGCAATTTGCATCCAACCTACAATAAAATACATGTTCATGAATGTGGTTATTAGTTTGAATAAAAACGCCAGCAAATTGTATTTTGTATCAAGTTCTCAAAGAAAAGACACCTATAGTTAATATAATTTTTATCCTGTGTCCTTGTATAGGAAGATATGAGATCTTAATATATAAACTAGTAGACATAGATATGTTCAAATTGTAACAATCAACAAGCTTTCCATTTCGGGACAAACAAAAGATTAATTTATACGGATTTCATTGTACTCGGTACTTCCAAACCACATTTGACATAATGCTGAGCAATGTGACTTGCTGAAAAGGTAATTAATTTTGGGGAAAAGTTTAAAACTTTTTCCTTTTATAATATTAAATTTCTATTATTGACCTCCTTAATCATAACTATCCTTTTATTAAAATAGTTCGACTAAAACAAAGAGGACAATACTGAACAAGGGGAGGTAATATTGATTTCCCATTGCAGCAGAAAATAAATAAATAAATAAATAAATAAATAAATAAATAAATAAATATATATATATATATATATATATATATGTGTGTGTGTGTGTGTGTGTGTGTGTGTGTGTCCAGGATCTAATCTACTTAATAAAGGCAGAAGAAGTGACGAAATTCTGAGAAGATAATAGTATTAATACCTGAACCTAATTTACTTAATACAGGTTTCGCCACTGTATCTGACTTATAGCGAGGAATTTTTTTTCCTATCTGATTAATACATTTTTAATTTTTCGCCGCTAATATGTGACAGCAAGGAAGTTTTTCTTAGCTATAAGTGTCCTTGCTAATACCCTCATTTCTTGTAGTACAATAAACTAATCATCCTTTTGCTTACTAGAAGCCCTCTGTCAAGTTTCTTCATTGCAAGTAGCTCACTACAAGGAAAAGGCGTTTTTATGACGACAAAAAGTCATCGCAAAAAACCGCATGTCGTCGCAAATAACTATTTTTACGACGCAGATTTGTTGTCGCAACTAATTAGTCGTAAAAACTTTTTTTGCGACGACATAGTATCGTCGCAAATACTTTTGCGACGACATCATGTTTTTGCGACGACAAGCGTTGCTAATACGCCATTGTAAAATTCTAGTGATATTATAATTTTTAGCGACAACATTTCAAATTATCGTCGCAAATAACCTTATTTTTTTGCGACGACAAATCTAAAAAAGTCGTCGCAAAAACCCGAAATAAAATTTTTTTTTAAATTTTTAAAAAATGGCAATTAATTAATTTTTAATAATTTTAATTAAAAATTATTATTTTACATATTGAATATAATTTATTAAGATACATTAAAAGTGAAATATAAATTAATATTAAAAACAGTAAATCTAATGAAGTGCAAACATAATGTTTAAAAAATTATAAAAGTCTAAATAAAGTGAAAAATAAAATAGTATATATAATGGAACTAATCGTCTAAGTTTGCAGCATCGCCAACAGCTGAATCATCATCAGAACTGTCATCATCTGAAGGATGCAGAAGAGCGTCGAGCGTCTAGGTCAACTGGTTATGGATGATCAATCGTAGGTAATTAGATGTTTGGCTGCAATTTAGCCATCAACTCTAACACCTTCACCTGATTGTTATATATCTTAACTTGTTCCTAGTACGTTTTCTTTAAATAACGACTCACACGTGGGCCAGGTTGAGCCGATGATGTTGCATCCGAGTATGAACCAGCAGATGAAGGAGAAGCCCCAGAGTAATGCTTTTGGGAGAGCGTCGGACCAACTCCTATCTTATGTCCTGTACGCATGCCAAGAACTTGCTCCAAAACCCCATGCTCATCAAAGGCGGGTCTAGTCGAGCTTGAAGTAGACTGTGTTATTTGCGTTTGTCTCTCCTCCTCCAGGGTGTTCTACATAATATAAGACATTATAATTATTTTACGTCTTATAGAACCACTATTTCAGTGTAAAAAAATTTAATATGAAAAGAAAAAATACTTACAAAAGTCTGTTCGGCTTGGGGATTAACCCAAGAGGCCCCGCGACGATGCATGTCCGCCTAATTGACTATGGCAGACATCAGCTCTTGGGTCTCCATACTAAACTGTCAAATAAATTACATTTGTTAAAATTCTTAAATTCTAACTAAATTTTGGCAGCATAACGACTTATTTTTCATATGATCCAAAAATCAAAACTTGTAAAAAAATAATTTTAAAAGATTTCGGCATACCATAGCTGCAAGATGTACCACCCAGAACAATCATTACAAACATATAAATACGATAATGAAGTCCAAAAATAACTACTAACCTTCTTATTACGATGC